AAATAACAAGTTGTCACATAGAATGACTATTGTCAGGGTCGATCCAGATTTTGGGGGGGCTTTATGCTAATTTCAATTATGAAGCCCCTATTTATATGTATATTATAATAATTATTATTAAATAAAAATACTCAAAACTACAAAAATAATAATTTAAAACTTTCAAATGCTTAAATTAAAGTTACTCTTCCAGAATATTTTGATAGAAAGTTAATAATTACACTATTATAATCAATCTGTTTTAGAACTTCTTTTCCAATATATACAATGTCTAACCCATTCAACATTTTTTGTGACCTTGTTGATCGAAGATAGAACTTTATCAACTTCAACTTTGAGAAGCACATCTCGACGATACAACTATAACTAATATAGTATTTTATAAGCAATACACACATTTGGAAAATGGTCCACCATTTTTATATAATCCAACACTACAATCGCCTTTTTAGTCTTTTCGGACAAATATTTGCATCTCAAATTATTATATATTCTAATAATTATTATTATTATTAAATGAAAATATTCAAACTTACAAAAAAATAATAATTTAAAACTTTGAAATATCAAAATTAAAGTTACTCTAATAGAATATTTTGATAGAAAGTCAACAATTATACTATTATAATCAATATGTTTTAGAACTTCTTTTCCAATAGATACAACAACATTTCTTGTGACATTGTTGATCGAAGATAGAATTTAATCAACTTCAACTTTAATAAGCTCATCTCGATAGTTACAACTGTAGCTAATATATTCAACAATATTTTATAAACAATACACTCCTTTGGAAAATAGTTCAACACTTCAATCACCTTTTTAATCTCTTCGGACAAATATTTTCTTACAATTCTGCAGCTCAGAAAATAACTTCAATCAATCAATGTCGGAATCCGTGTCATGCTTCAAAAATTCTTTAAACTTATCAAACCAACACTTCAAACAACTATGCATTCAAAATTTCTTTAAAAAAAAAAACCAAAAGTATTTTCTTATTTTTGAAAATGTTCAAATCTTAAGTGAAAAAAGAGTTTGATCAACTATATATAAGAAATAATCAACTCTAAATGATTCTTCAGCTGAACGTGTTATTTCATAATTTATTTCGTTAAAGTGTTTATATGAATGATACGCTTTTCATGAAAAGTAGGTTCAACTTTCATTTGATCAACAATTTTTTATCAGTAATCTTATTGGATTCAAATTCAGTTTCTCTATATGTTTTAAAAAAATGAAACAAGTGTTTTCAAATGACTAATATTAGTATCAATAGACATGTCTTCATTTTGCAACATTTTGCTTACTATATTAATTGCAGACAATATATTGTACCAAATACTTTGTAGTAGACATATTGAAGCAATAGACGGAATAAAATCAATTCAATATTAAACTTTAAAATAGTTGAAGAACAATAGAATTTGGTGAGAGATTTCTACATAGATAGAAAATATTTCAATTATCATAAAAAAAGCAGACAAAATAAAACATAAATTTTAAAACATCTCTTTTGGATGTCATGCAAAAAGAGGAAATAAGCGTGAATAGCTTGTAAAAAATGCCATAATTCAAGTTTGGCATTTGACCAAAAAATAGCATTAAGAAAAATAAATCAAAATCTAATTTTAAACACCTAAAAGGCAAAAATACCCCTCATTGAAAGAGAAGAAAAATCTCACAGACCAAAAAAGTGAAAACCGTCTCCAACAATTCCCAAAAATCGACCACTTTATTTTTGAATCCGGCCACCACATTGACAAACAACCGATACCGACGCCAGCACCGACAACCACAAAGAGGAAGGTTATTTTTTTTTCCTTTAACAAATGTTTTTTTTTCATATATTGTGTTTCAATTATTTTCACATTTTTTGAGTTTATTGAATCATATATGCGTAGATCTGTTTGAGTGTTAGTCTTAGGGGTGAAATTATGATATTTTAGGCCGTGTTTGGCTCATTTTTTAGCTTTACTTCGTCGAAAATGGCGATTTTCAACCATTTTCGGTGAACAAGCCGGCTGCAAACAACCAGTATTGCTACTGGCTGTTTGCAACTGTTAACAGCCGGTCGAACCAGCTTCCAACAATTCCCAATAATATAATTAAATAATTAATTTTA